CCCCCCAGTAATGGTTCAATTAAATATTGTTGAAACCTATTAAAAAATGAAATAAGAGATTTTAATCTTTATGTCATCTGTTGTAGGTGGCTTGTATGCAGCTTATCAATGCACTTGTAACATCACCTGATGATCTGGACTTGAGGCTTCACATCAGAAATGAATTTATGCGCTGTGGATTGAGAGAGATATTGCCAGTAAGTGCCCTGTAGTCACTGTTTTTGCATTAACATTTAAATTTGCAGCTTTCTGAGTGGAGGAGCCTGTTTCATAAGCTTTTCTTTTTTGTTTAATCTTGTTTGAACAAATTAGATATTTTTCAAATGAGCTCTGTGTTATTAGTCAATATATAATGTGTTAACCAATCTATAATTTCTTCCAATTGTATGTATGCATGTATGTATTCCTACTGTGCATACTGTTTGTAATGAACTATACTGTCAAATGGTTGGCATGTTGCAAGACTTCCATTAGGACACTATGGACTTACATACATAAAAATCAGTGTATCAAAACTGAATATGTTTGCTCTGATTAGGACAATTTAGAAAATAATGCCCTAATCTCTGCTAGTAATCTCTGAATAGAATGTTTAACCTGAAAGAAGCGCAAAACAAAAGGTATGGTGCTCACTTACCGGTCTCTGATAAAGGGAAAAGCCTTGCTTTCCATTGCTTCTATCTGACAACCTGGCCAAGATCAAGCTTTTAGGACTTTTAAGGAAAATTAACAACTGCTCTAATCCTAGCAGATGCTATCCAAAGCCTTTTCAAGTATACAAGGTTTAGGTGCTGTGTTTGCTTAAGAGCAAGATGGAACTATAAGCGTTATTGCCTATGCTAGCAGACGTTTGTGACCGATATAACAATAATTCAGTAAATTAAAGCTGTTTCGGGCTTGAATTATTGCCTGTGTGGGCTATATCTGAATAATTTGCTGAGTATTTTCTTTGTGGACAAGTAGACATGTACACAGCCCCCCTTTCTTGATTAGGGACTACTACGTCAGGGGCCATTTAACAGTATTGGGTTGCCTGATTTCAACCATACCATTCAGTATAAGCCTAGATTGACCACAGCAATGCTGATGCCCTCTTGCGGTGTCCACAGGAGCAACCCCATTGGCATGTTGTCCAGCGCTTGGAAGAAACTGAAACTGTCCCATCCAAAATTGTCACTCAGGATACAAGCTTCACTTTGGCAGTCCAAAATAGCCAGTTCTAACAAGTCATCCCTGAAATAAATTTCCCCAAAGAATGGACTGAGTTGTGCAGGCACAATCCTGATATTTCCCAACACAAGTGGTTATTTTCTAGAAAATTAAAAGCTAGTTTCTGAGAGTCGCTTCTTCCTTCATTGTCAGTATGTATTCTACTTAGATAGTGGAACAAATTGGAGACTCACAATGGTCTTCTACTGTATATTGACAGATAAGACTCCCTAATGAGCTGAAAGACATTTGTCAAATTATGATTCCCCAATCAATAGCTGCAGGATTCTGTTTAATAATGCAGCACACAGGTGAACTTTTCACTGCTAAATGCACAAAAGCATTCATCTGGAAATACTTTTATTCTCCTGGACTATCCACCTTGAGGCACAAGGTCTGCCCGAAATGCTGACACTGTGCCATCCATAAAGGAAATGAGGAACACACCACTCCCCTCATTAATACTGGAGAGCTGTTTCATTAGCAAACCATGGTCAACGATATACCCTAATTTTTGGTTATCCTTTTTCAAAATTACTATTGTTGTATCCACTTGAGATATGATAGCTGTTTTACAGGCAAGCTTTCTAGACACATGTAGTTTGTCCATACAGGTTCTAAAAATGGATTTTGTCAGATCAGGGCCCAGATCAAGGATTTTCAATCTTAAGTATTCTCTGATTAATGGAAATCACATACTACCATATGCTTTCCATAGGTTAGTGGAGTATGAAAACATTTTAACCAAACTCTGTTGAACATGCTTCATTCTTTGAAACAGAAACTCTGGAGTGTGTGTGTGTGTGTGTGTGCACTGCAAGCACCCACCTACTATGTGGGTTTACTAATACAACCAGAAGAGAACTTTGGATAATCCACTTTCTCCCACCATGCACAGTCATCAAATGCACAATGTTGATCTCTTCCCAAAGCAAGCTACCCAAGCCATGCATACTGAGTATCGCGGTATACTGAGATGCCGCACCTGGGACAGATCCCGACAATACTGTCTGGATCCACCCAGCTGCGGGATTGACAGCTGGCTCTGCCTTTCCAGAGCCCCCTCCCTCATCTGTTTTGCCAGTCAGGGGAGTGGGGGGAATCCCTGCAGGGAGCTGTGAGTGACAGTCACGGCTCTCTGCAGGGACATGATCGAGAAGTGAGCAAGCGACGGTATGTGTTCACTCCCCGATGTACTGAGCCGACCTGTGACAGTTTCATGGTCACAGGTCGGCTCAGATTATGAAGCTGAGTGAAGATCACTCGCCTCATAATTCTCCTTTAACCTCTTGCCGTCCGCCCGTAGTAAAAAAACGGACGGACGGCACTGCAGCATCTGCGGGTTGCTGTCTCCAGACGGCAATTTTTTTCTGCTCGCGCGCGCCCCCTAGCGGGCACGCACGGGCAGAAAAGACCCGTCCAATGCGAACACCCGGTACCGGGTGTTTCACATATAGGCGATCAGCTGGTCCATAGCCCGTATGGGGTTTAATAAGGAGTTGCGCTAATATTGCGCAACATAAAAATTTGCAACTACCACCATTTTATTCTATAGGGTCTTGGCATCAGAAAATATATAATGTTGGGGGGTTTTAAGTCATTTTCAGGCCTAAAATGTGGAATATAACATGGGTGCAAAAAATGAAAAAAGGGCCTCAGTCATGAAGGGGTTAAGCTCGGGGGTAAATGTATGCAGGTGGATTTGTGTTTGGAGGAATGATGCCACAGTCCAGTGATTGCTAAATAACTTCCTTTTTTGACTCCTAGTAGTAAACAAAGAGTTTACATGACTACTGCTTACTAATCGCTCTAGTAGAAGACCTGCATAAAACCAATGTGTCCTATGCCATGGGTTCTGGCACCATCTTGGAAGAGCATGTGCCTTATGTTTGCAGATAGCACCTTCAGATTTTGTCAGTCAACTTGGACGCAGAGGGGCCATAAATAGTACCAGCTGCATCTCAGGAGGGCTCTTTTTTTGCAGAGAAACAAGAGGGCAGGACAAACACTTGTTTGCTAGTGATAGTTGAGTTATGCCCATTGTCTTTATAAATATTTTTTTTATGTACAGCAATTAAAGCACATCCGTAATGATGCCCTGGATATCCAGCTGAGGGTGTTTGATGAACACAAAGAGGAAGATATGATAGAGTTCTCCCATCGCCTTGATGATGTCCGCTCTGAAATGGAATATCCTTTCCTATGTTATATCTATTTTGTTTTTTGTGCCCCATGCATATACCAAATGCAACAAGGGTTCTCTTTTTCCCCCCCATTGCATTGTAAAGTATAATCTGGTCCTTATTTACTGTATTGTTCGTGAATTTCTCTGCACTGGTACAAGGAAATGTGTAGGGAAGTTGGAAATCTATTTGTTCAGCACTCTGTGTAGTGACATGCACATCCTTCACTCTTGCAGTTTCCAATTTTGTTTTTGTGTGTGCATGGCAAGGGGGAGATAAAAAATGACAGCTATAGCTAACTTTTTTACCGAGAACGTCAAAAATATTCAGCATACACCTTTTCCCATTAATGTCAATGACACCATGTTCTTTTTTTTTTGAGCTAGAGGTATGTTTGGTTAGGAAAGGGATTAGCCTGTCTATTGGCTTGTGTGTCTGCTAACTAATGTTGCTAAAACATGATCAGTTTTTTTAATGTGAATAATTGGTAATATTACTGTTATGACGTTTGCGATGTTGAGGAATATATACATTTGTACACCTGCAATATGTCTGTGAAGGTTCCCACTCATGCAGGTAATGGTATATCAGTAAAAAAAGAACTCAAAATAATTGGACTTGCTATATCTTTCTTGCAGGCATTTTGCTGATTGTCCGACTAGCTTTCTCAATTTCTGAGCTGAGAAATCTAGTCGGATAACCAGCAAAAGTTCTTTAAGAAATATAGCAAGTCCAGTTGCTTTGACTTATTTCACAGATAGTGCATCTGCAGCATTTCCTGAAAGTGTCCGGCCAAAATAAAAATGAAAATAGAGTTAAAACACAGCTATTATAAGTGAAAGTGCTAGAGTCCAAAAATGATCTTTAACTCCTCTTTATTGATTAAAATCCATAGTCCAATACAGCACAGAAACAAGACGCTATCGTGTTTTGGCTATACAAGCCTTAGTCATATATAATTCATATTATTTTAAACCCCTTGAATACTGACCATTCTCACAGGAAGCAAATCATTTTTTTTTTTTTTATAATGTTAAAACATTTACAGACTATAGGTCTAGGTGCATGCGCTTGGATATAGGCAGTCTGTGCCCAAGTGCACACGGCCGGACCTGAGTAGATGTATTGGTTTGGCTTGACGTGTAGCCACTCACAGTTGTGTCCAGCTGCACGCAATTACAGGCTGCACCCGTTCCACCTGAGAGCAGGTCTCTACATGGGCATGCGTGTTGTACAGATGGTCATGCCTTTGTGAACAAGGTCTTTGAGTTTGAGCCATCCTGTTAATGTTCTCCTATTCTAATGCGGACTGGTTTGGAGCCTGCCAACCAATTAATGGATTTGTGCGTTCATTAAGAAAATATGTTTAGCAAATGTAATTCCTGAAATTCCTGATATAAGCCTCCTATAACTCGCTGTACATTGACACTCAAAGTGGGAGAGGAAGGACAAGTA